ATGCACATATACATTCTTTTTTATACAAAATGTGTGTCGGACATCGACACACTCAGACACATACCGACCCGTGTTCGATATGCAGTCAACATTTTGGTATACATGATCAATGTTCTGACACGTTCCAACATGCATCCGACATGATGTCAACGTTTTTTGACATGCAGGCAACGTCACTTTTTAATTTATTTTATTTTTTAACTAAACATAAAAACTCTATTTATAAATCAAATATTTTCTATTATAAAATTTGACATAAAAAATTAAACAAAATTATTTTTTCTTTATATTTATGTTATGAAATTTGAATATTTGATTAACTATATGACTTATTGTAGGCTGCTATATGTATTAAATATAAACTATATTATGTGTGTTAAAAATATTATTTAATATCAAAATGTGTCCTAACGTGTCGAAATCTAACATTTTTTACAATAAACATGTCGGCATGTCGTCTCGTATCTCGTGTCAGTGTTGGTAGGCGTAAGAACCCTCACAACCATGTTAGGTCAAACAAGGAAATCAAGCAATTGTTCAAGAGATCAAGTTGTGTTCAAGGACATTGTGACAAGTAATCGTCTCGTAATGGTTCATTGATCATCAAATTAAGATGACAAGATATACAACGATACAATTAAATGCAAGCAAGTCAATTAGGACTCAAAGGGAAATACTAGTAAAGTTTAGGGGTCAAAGTTTAATTAAGCAAACATTTAGGGACCAAATTGCAATTAAACAAAACTTGGCCTAAACTTGATTTTGATGTTTTAATTAAATTGTTTAGTGAATTTAGTTGGTTAAAAGTGATCTTAGATTATTTTAATTAGGATTAGAATAATTTAATAAATTAGGTCAAAGTTGGTTTAATTAAAAGTCAATAGAAACCATTTTAAATTAAAGGAAGTCAAACAAGTTAAAAAGTCACGAAACTTAGTGAATTTCCTTCAATCAAGTCGGTTTGAACTTTGAAGTCTCTAAATTCCTCCTCATTGCATCGTTCCTTCTTTCCTTAAAAGAATAGACCAAATGTGTGATTTAATCATAACCAATAGTAACTGGGTTAAAATAAGAAAGTCAATAAAGTAAAAATTTGTAACACCCCGTTCTAGAACCGGTTTGTTAACATCGCATTATGATATTAAGCGCAGTTACAATCACATGGGTTCAATTAAAATCCGGATAAATTTTTCATTTTAAAACGTACCGAACTTATAATACCCAATTTCGTGATCATAACCATATTACCTTGCGGAAACAGATAAATTAAGCTTAACATCATGTTCTTATTCCATTTTTAAATCATTAATTTACTTCTTATTTAGTTCACATCTTCTACTATATTGTAGGTTTCTTCATTAGCTACCTGTGGATACACAAGCACCCCTCAACTGATCAAGCAAATCATCTATGCGAGGGAGAGGATACTTGTTCTTAATGGTAACCTTATTCAACTGACGGTAATCAGTGCACAATCTCATGCTACCGTCCTTCTTCTTAACAAATATGACTGGTGCTCCCCACGGGGACACACTTGGCCGGATAAACTGCTTAGCCGAAAGCTCTTCAATATGTTTCTTTAACTCGGCTAATTCCGGTGGTGACATCCTATACGGAGCCAGAGAGATAGGCCCCACACCAGGCAACAGATCAATCGTGAACTCAATCTCTCTATGAGGCGGAAGTTGTGGAATTTCATCTGGAAACACATCCACAAACTCCCTCACCACGGAAATAGTGCCAATCTCCTCATGACTTCCGCCTACTAAACCCCCCACAAAGACATATCCCAATGCCCCGGCCCTCAAAGCCTTTCTAACCTGCAACACAGATAGATATGGGGAAGAACTAGTAGCAGAATCATCAGCATCAAGCACAATCCTTTTACCGCAGCAGTCTATCATAGCACAGTTCTTTGACAACCAGTCCATACCCAAGATAACTTGAAGGCTGATCATAGGTAAACAAATAAAATCCAGCACGTAATCTCGGCCTTCATATTTGAATTCGACAACTTTACACAACACAGATGTATAACACTCCTCTCCAGTAGCTGTAACCACTTTCATTGGAGGGCGAATGTCATACATTTGCAAATTTAGACCAACGGCCATAAAATCAGACATACAGGAGTGTGTAGCTCCTGAATCAAACAACACTTCAACATCCATATTATCAATGTAAATTGTACCTTTCACTAGATTCGGAGCCTTCTCCGATTGTTGACGGTCCATGGTATATACTCTACCAACCGTCTGAGACTCTAGCATAGGTTGAACAACAGAGACCGGAACAGCAGTAGCTTGAACTGCCATAGTTCTTGCTTCATTCTGAGGACACTGCCTGGAGTAGTGACCGGATCTTCCACATTTAAAGCAAATCACCTCACCAGTAGCACATGGACCTCTATGCTCTTTGCCACATCCCCTACACTTGGGAGGAGGTCCTCTATCAACAAACTTCTTCTGAGTACCGGGTTTTTTGAACAAGTCAAAGGGCTTATTCGCATTCAGCTTCTTGCCTTGCACCTTCTTGTTCTTCCAATAACCTGCGCCCGTTGCTTTATTGGAACTAGGTGTCTGGGCCTCAGAAGACTTCTTGGCTTGGGACACCTTATACACTTCTTCCACCTTTCTACACTGGTTTACAAACCGACTGAACTCTCGGATGTCACAATTTGACATCTTCCGAGACATCTTCTCATTAAGACCCCATTGGAACTTGGAGGTCATTTCAGCCGGGGTGGGTAAGGCTCGCCCATAGTTGGCGTATTTCACCAACTCATTGAGTTTTGAGAAGTATTGGTCAATAGACATCGACCCTTGTTTGAGATCGTTATACTCATTCTGCTTTTGTTCCCTAGCCTCTCTAGGGAAGTAGTTATCCAAGAACAATGTCTCGAATAACCGCCATGTGATCTCCCGACCTTCAGCTTCTAATGGCTGCACGGTATTTGTCCACCAATCTTCTGCTTCCTCTTCCAGCATATAAACAGAGTAAGCCAACTTCATTGCGTCAGGGCACCTCATCACCCTGAATATCTTCTCCATAGCTTGGAGCCATTTTGCAGCCGCCATTGGCTCATAACCTCCCTTAAAAGAAGGAGGTTTATGTTTTCGGAAAGCCATTAATCTCCTTTCCTCCATTTCATGATCACCGACATTTTCAACTTGAGGTTGACGGACCTCGGTGTGATGACTCAGACTTCCGGAGTGGTGACTACCCTCACCCTCATTGTTACCCACTCCACCCTCTTCCTGTGAAGGAGGTGGAGAAGGCGTAGCAGTGTGAGGAGGAGGAGTAGGTTGCCGGTTCACGGGCCTAGGACCCCTCAACGTCCTCAGCTCAGTCATCATTGCGGCCATGGCAGTCCGCGAGTCTTCATTTGTTTTCATCAGATTTTCATTGGCTTGCCTGCTAGCAGCCAACTCCCTCTGAACGGCTGCAAGAGCTTCAGCCACGGGATCAGGCTGTACGCCCGTTGCCCCACGGCCACTTCTAGGCCTCACAAGAGCAGCCAAAACAGGTTCTGGCTGAGCATTGGTGTTTGATGGTCCGGGGTTGTTTCGGTTCCTCGTCATGTCACTACACATGTTACACAAAGAAGTGAGTTGATCAGGCCCACACTTAGTGATCACAAATGCAATAATCATCAAGAGTACTAAAACAACTATAAAGCATCAAACACTAAGCATACTTAACAATTTCCGACGAAACTGCTCTGATACCATAAAATGTAACACCCCGTTCTAGAACCGGTTTGTTAACATCGCATTATGATATTAAGCGCAGTTACAATCACATGGGTTCAATTAAAATCCGGATAAATTTTTCATTTTAAAACGTACCGAACTTATAATACCCAATTTCGTGATCATAACCATATTACCTTGCGGAAACAGATAAATTAAGCTTAACATCATGTTCTTATTCCATTTTTAAATCATTAATTTACTTCTTATTTAGTTCACATCTTCTACTATATTGTAGGTTTCTTCATTAGCTACCTGTGGCTTCAAACTGTGCTCAAGTCGGGGCACTGTAGCCCAAGTTAGGACAATTTGGAGCAACACAAGAGAGTGTTGGTCACAGGCCCAGCGCGCTTCAGCGCGCTACCGGGCGCTCAAGCGCGCGCTATCGGGCGCTAAAGCCTCCCTCTGGGCGCTTAAGCGCACGGAGGCAGTAAGCATCAGGCATTCCAGTGTGGAGGGGCGCTTAAGCGCGCAACAGGGCGCTCAGGCGCGCTAGCCTGGGCGCTCAAGCTCCCACTGGGACGTTTTAGCGCGCAGAGACAGAAGCATTTCCTCCTACAGTGGCTAAGGGCGCTTAAGCGCGGACCAGGGCGCTCAAGCGCGCAACCCTGGGCGCTTAAGCCCCACCCTGGGCGCTAAAACACGAGGGGACAGTACGCATCCCAACTTTCTGCAGCAAAAGGGCGCTTAAGCGCGAGCCAGGGCGCTCCAGCGCTCAATCCTGGGCGCTTAAGCCCCCACTTGGGCGCTCCAGCGCGAGGAGGCAGAATGCATTGGCACTCGCAGGGGCAGCAGGGCGCTTGGGCGCGCTCCTGGGCGCTTAAGCGCGCTGCCAGGGAATTCCAATTCCCACATTTCTCAAGTCCAAGCCTAGGGGAAAATGCATCCCCATTACAAACCCCAAATGTCCATGCCCCAAAACTAAATCCTAGCACTCATCCAACCTCTCCTCATGAGATTTAGCTAGAATTTGGACAGCATGACCTTTGTTTTCTCATCGTTTACCAGTTTAAACAAAGGGGTACCTAATTGATTTTCAGCCCAACCAATTCAACAACTCAATACATAACAAGCATGCATATATTGAATTTCAAGTAGGCATCATTTACATTACATATCCTTTACAAATCATAGAACTTAGCTTACAAAACACTATGATCATTCCCTTGGCTCCCATCAACAAAAGGTGCAACCAAAGGCATGAGCATAGGCTAAGTTCATCCAATGAATCAAGATATACAAATGACCATGGGCTTTCAAAATAAAATCCTATACATGTCAACTACAAAAGGCATGCATAAACTCATAGAAGTGCCATATTTCATGCATAATCTAGGTATGGCCACTTGCCACCAGAGGCTCCTGCAGCATCCTTACCTGAAAGGGGGTCCCCACAACACGGGGTGAGATATACGAATATATCCAGTAAACCAGGGGTCCTTGGAGCATCTCTCCACCCCACAGTTCCATATCAGTGTAATAGCAATAACAATAATAATGCAGTAAATACATATCTATGCAAAGTGCAATACATCTCCAGGAGAAATCCCTCGAGCTCTCAAGCTGTCCTAAGGAAACTCAGATGCAAATAGTCCTACTGGCCAGCTAACTACCAAGTATGATTTACGCATCGTCATGCAACATACCAACATAGGGAAACACCATCCTATGCCACACCAAATGCATACACATACGTATAACAAAGCATTACACTATTTTATTGCATTTATATACACAATCACAACCTCTACCCTTTCAGGGCTTGGTAGAACAGTCAAGGGAATTACACCCAAGGTCCGAAGGCTTACCTCAATGCTTCAGTCAACCTTTGTTCTTCACCAACAGTTTCAGCAATCAACTTTTACAAACATACACCAATTCCAATGAGCTATTCAAGCTCCATAGCTTGCTCCAATGGTTGATCACTCACGGTTGGTCCAAATGTCTCAATCCTAGACATCACAAGGATCCAATCAATCATTCAACTCACTAATTGTTCAACATGCTAGAATACTAACCAATCCAAGCATGAATTTTCCAATATTATGAACGATTATCAAATGACTATCTAGGCTCATTTCCACCGATTAAATGACATTCCTAGCATTTTCCATAACATGCTCTAAGCTCCATTCTTCCTAGAACATAGCTAATTCAACTACATTTCATAAAAATCCCAATTTACTATTCACAAACCCTAACTCATGCAAATTTCAAGGAATCATGAGGTTCAAGGGTTAGAATCTTACCACCAATGGTCACACAACCAAGGATTGATGGCTCCTCAAGCTTCAATGGAGGTAGAAACTCTCAAAACCCCAATTTTCACCAAAGGGCCGAATTTTTGAGAGGTAATATCTCTCTCCACAATGCTCCCCACTCAAAACAAAGCTAGGATTATGAAAGAGGGCGAGATTCTAAGCGATTTAGGCTTTTGAATCATCCAAAACCATCAAGGTTTGATCTCTCTCTCTCTTTTCCTCCCTTCCTTCCTCTTCTTTCTCCTTCTTCTTCTCCTTCTCTTTGTTTTCTGGCGACGGGACTTGGGGGGAAATGGGGGTCATTTTGGCTTTTAGTCACTTAACATAGGTTAAGTGGCTTTAAGCGGGTATTGGTTCGTCTATCTATTCAACTCCAATAATTACCAAACTTTACCCAAAAGTCTGGAATATTATTCTAGGAATATTACTATTTTTATTTTTATATTTTGGGTACTTTTGACAGTACCCATTTATACCCCTTAATTTTCACTGAGTACACTTTTTAACTCCAAAGTGACTCAGATTCATTTTATTAAGCCTCATACTTAATTTCACCCAGTAAAACATGTTTAATTAATTAATTACACTTGATTTCCTAATTAATTAATATGGGCTATTATAAAATTCAAGTAACCTAAGCCTTGTTCCATTGTCCAAGTCGGTTCTTCTCTTTAAAAAGAACACAAAAATATAAAACTTTCCTTGTCACCTAGTGAGTATAACCATAGCTTCTAATCATTGTAAGGAGCTTTGGATGTTCATCTTTTCTACTCTTCGTCATGCGACACCATGGCTGACCTCTTGGTGAAATGATGTGTTTTCATGTCCTGAAGTTGAAGAATTAGTCTACTAGAAATGTTATAAGGTAATTAAACTACCAATCTTTGATTAATTTCATGGATTTACTATTAGGTCATCTGAATATAGGTGCTGTTTATGGATGAGCTTTAGCATGATTATTTGATGTGGTTTTAGTTTGAATAATGATTGGTTGTTGATTGGAAATTGATCTATGCATTAAATTGATTAAAAACAAGCATGTGGGATTAGTGATTCTTATGTAACATGAGAGTGATATTTCTCTTAAAAATACAATTGAAAAAAAAAAAAAATCAGTACCATTCATGGATTAATAGAATCGAGATACAAGAGCAATCTTTAGAACTTGATTCAAGCGAAATCATTAATTACATATATTCCAATAAAATACACAAGTTGGGTACACAACTGGATTATGCTAACCCAATTGATGTCTGAGATACAGGCGTAGCTATATATAGAGACTATAGAAATGGAAAGGTAAACTTTTTAAGCATGGTAAGTTTAATAGAATGCGGTGGAAGATCTTATCATATTATGGAGTTGAAATTGGCTTGTGCATTGGCGGTGGTGGTGAATGTTTTGGAAATTTTGATTTCTTCACTTTAGGAAAAGGCGTTTTAGGTAAAGGCTTTTTACGAAAAGGCGGTAGCCATTTAGGTAAAGGCGTTTTAGTAAAAGGCGGTAGCTTAAAAATTAACTCTGGCTCAACATCAGGAATTGGCTTTTTCACTACAAATGGTTTTGGAATGTGCTTAACAATGGGACTTGGCTTTGGAATAGGCTTAGGGAAAGGCTTAACAATTGGAATTGGTTTTGGGAAAAAAAATCCTTTGAATTTTTCTTCTTCATTATGTCCTCCTAGGCTTGTCTTTGTCAGTTGCTCATTTACAAGCTTCCCATCAGTGTTCACTTCATTCCCTGTGTAAGAAATGCAAAAGTACATCACTTAAATACATAATATATAGTTCTATGATAGTAAATTTGAATTCTTTCATGTAGATTGATATAGAGTGAATATATAAATAAAAAAAAAAAATTGTGCCAATCAAAATAGCAATATAATTATACCACTTTGGTGACCATACTACTAGATGTCAAGAAGCATAATAGATCACAATTTAATTACATGCATGTTGATGCTAAAATAAATCATTGATTTGAATTAATTTGGATGACAATAATAACAGTCAAAGTCTTACTAGCAAGTAACCATAATTTTCACTGACTGAATTTAGTGTATGAAGGGCTGTGGCTAAGTGCTAAGGTCTTTATTTCCTCAAAACTAAAGTCTTACGAAATATACAGCATTAATAGTTTTCCATTCTTCATTCAGTGTCAGCATGAGCCACAAACCTGAAACTTCAGTTGTTGCTATAGCAGAAGGAGCATAACAGAAGATGGCAATAAGCAACAAGGGAACAACGAAGCGCACAAGTGCGCATTTCAGAGTGGAAGACTTTCTCATTGAGAAAACAAATAGGCCAAATCTAAAAAAGGGAAATGCTTGAAGGATGAGTTACTCTTTGTCCCATACATGCATTATTTATATTAGCTTTCTTGGGATTAACTATGCATTAAGTGCTCTATTTTTTTAATTTTTTTAATACAAGTGCTCTATCTGCTATTACGCTTGTGAATATAGTCCTAGCTAGATTTTAGATTTAGTTAGGGACCATCATGGGTAGTTGGGAGTGTTTATTGTTAGAATTCAAACTCAACTTTGATACAAACACTTCACCGTAAAACTATAGGAAAACCGACAAAAATGTAACTATTCATCAAGTTTTTTACCTAAATGTCATGTGAATAGTGTTATTTTTCAATCTGCCACTTGGGCTAGTTCGCTACCCGGTGTAGCGAACTCGGTTTGCTGACGTATCACATTTCTAGTGAATAACAAGTATCAAGTTAAAAAAAAGAGTATGAAGTTCGCTACATTGGATAGCGAACTTGGTTAAAACTAAGTTCGCTCTCTCATGTAGCGAACTTAGTGTCTACTAGAAACGTGACACGTCAACAAACTGAGTTCGCTACATCGGGTAGCGAACTTGCCACCGTGGCAGATTGAAAAATAATACTGTTCGCGTGACATTTAAGTAAAAAACTTGATAAACAGTGACATTTTGGTCACTGTTCCAAAACTATAACTAAAGTGAGTTGTCAGTTGTGCAAATCCAAGTTGCCTAGTTGTCAGTAGATTGGACGAAGCAATAAGACAAAGGCGGCTAATAACTTAAGAAGCACAGCAGCACTAGTTGTAAGGAAGAGAACAGAATACCGCAGCACTAGTTGTAAGGAAGAGAACAGATAAGTGCCGAAACACGTGCGAGGGAAAGAAAAATGGAGAGAGAGATTTGTAAGAAAGTTTTGTAATATAATGCAAGTTGTGTTATGTTGTGTTGCTTTTAGTTTTAGGGGTTTGCATTTATCATTTAACATGACACAACTTCCTACACACACAATATTTTGTGGGACCCACACTTTTTGAAACTAAAAAAAAAAACTACGGCACGCAAAACGAATATTTATAACATTACACAACCACTTTTCCTACAACATAACTCTTATAAAACCCTTAGTTTTAACATATTTAAATTATGTTTTATTAATCTATGTTAAAGGAGAAAACTTATCTCATGTTATAGAGACAAATTTGTGAGCTCCACCACCTGAAAAAAAAAGGTGGCACGATTATCGAAGGATGTGTAGGAGAAAAAACTTAACTCATGTAGCATGAGAATAGTTTTTCCCATTTAAATTTCCAACGTTTATAAGATCAATGGTAGTGGTGTTCATCAACCGATTCAAATCACAGTGACCGAACTGAAAAATCAATAACCGGATTAACTGAAATTTATATGCTCTTAAATTCTCCGTTTTGCTATTAAGTTTTAGTGATTTATTCTAAGTTTGCGTCCAGGAGTGATTAACTGTTATTTGGGCAGGAGCAATCCGCAGTTCTGGAAATTAGGAAGCAACTAAATGTAAAATGATTTATATTTATTACTTTCGGGCTTAGGAAATTATTTAGCATTTTCAGAAAATCCAATGACCATTTAGAGGAGGCCTAATTCAGAATTAAAGCAAACTTGGAGAGAAAGAAAAAAGACAGAGACAAAGGGAGACAAAAAGGACATAAAGAAAGAGCTAAAAAACACTATACTCGCGTCCTTTTGTTTTCCAGAAAATGTAACCATTCAAGAGCGGCCACATCAGCAGTAGCAGAGAGGAAAGGCAGGGAACATTTCTACAACACCACATCCTAAAAATTCAGAAAAAAAAATGAAGAAATGATGCTTAGGTGAAGGTTTTAGGGCTGACTTGGACATGATCACGTCACTGATTGGGGAGCAACTGATGAAATCTGCACTATTGATTAAATCAAGGGACGTGATTGACTCAAGAAAGACCTTTCATCTATAAATACTGAAGAAATTACTAACTTCAGAAGTTCTTGACCCCTTAGGGAGGACTAACGTGAGTTGTCGAACTCATGCATATTAAATTTATCAGGTTTGTAAATATTTTGTAGTAAAGGGGAAAACTTGAGTCGTCTCTCAAGAAAATTTTAAGGGTTTAAATTGCTAATTAAAAATAAAAAATATAAGATGGGGATTTTTCTTCAGTTCAAATAAAAATAAAACAAAGTGTAAAAATTGAGATTAAAATTGTAACAAAATAACCAACGCAAAGTTGGCATTCCATGGACATCCATCACTGGATGAATGATTATCAATTTTGTGGTTGATTCTAAACGAATCAGGATCCCTGCATTCGTTTAGAAATCCTTCTCTAGGCAAAAAATCGGATTAGGGCTCCACTAATTTTAGCCAAAAAATAAAATAAAACAGAATTAAAATAAATAAAATAAAAATAATGGCCTTGGGCCTCTTGTGCATTGAGTTCTTAATTAAAATTACAAGCCGAGCTAATTAATTAAATTTCAGCATTTAATGTCTGACTTGGGCTCCAACTTCTTGTCCGAATTGGTCTTTCATATCTTAACATTTGTAGCCCTCTGAATTATTTGCAAAACATAACAAAAATGTGAATAATAGGACACCTGTAGCAAGATTTATGGTTAGAAAACTGAAGTAACGTAAATCTGGAAATTATTAATAAAAACAAATTAAATTAAATTAAATTATATTAAGAGTCTAACTAATTAAATCAGCCCAAAAGTCTTTTATTCTAACAGTAAACAATCCCAAAACTATTATTCAAGAGCACAAATAAGTGTAATAAATATTAATTATCAAATTTTTCCATACTTATTCTTTTGCACTGCCGGGCAAAACTAAAGAAAATGACAGAACAAATATAGACCTATCTTTTCTAACAATTGCAAAGAATACAAAAGATAAACAAGGATCACAAAACTCGAACAAATCAACCAACCAAGATAGAAATTCTTTTATCTCAAATCACAAAACTTGGTAATCTCAATTGATAATGCTAATTACATAAAATGGTCTCTCAAAGGATGCTCTCAATGAGTCTCTCTCAAGTGTATCGAGTAAATAAATGTATCACTTAAATTCCACTCAAGAAAATGATCTTATCATAGGCTTGCTCAAGTTCTATTTCTCCACTGCTAATAATAAATGCATGCATAAATCAAGAGGTTTTTTATTCAAAGCTGTAATGGGGTCAGGTGAAGGTGTGGATGAGTATGGGAATGAGCGGCTAAGCACCCAAAAAATTTAAAAGAGCACTAGTTAAAAAGTAAATTAACGAAACATAACTAAAATAAAAACAAAAACAAAAATAAAGCAAGAAAAACACAAAGGTGAGAACTAATTTTTTTTCTTGCTTTTTCTTTTCTTTTCTATTTTTCTTTTTCTTTTTCTTTTTCTTTTTCTTTTTCAGTGTTTCTTTCCTTTTTTTTCTTTTTCCTTCTTTGAAGATGAACAATTGACAAATGATAAATATTAAATAGCTCTCTCACCCACACTTAAAATGTTGCACCCCTCAAGCAACCCCTACACTTAAATATAACACAAAGGTGAAGCAAAAGCTCAATAAATTTCTAAGGTGCAGGATCAATTGCTTTTACACTTAGGCTTATAATGTGGCTAAGAAAATAAGGGTATAAAAAGACACAAAGAGGCTAACCAACGAAAATATAATGTAAGGTTTGGCTATAAGATCAAAGTGGGAAAAACAAAAGAAAGAATGCCTCAATTATATCTATACATGCAAGTGAAAAATGTAATTTAAAAAAGAACAAGAGCAAGTATAACACCTCGTATATTAATAATTAAATTGAGGGTTAGAGAGGATGCTTAGTGAAAATCCTAAGTTTTGAGTTAAAATATGCAAGAAGGGTAACGGTAAATCAACAAATATGTAACCCTAAGTTGTAAAATGATAGAATTAGGCCTCAAATGATGAAAATAATATTAAAAATAGATTCAGAACGAAAAATTCAATGATTAGGCAAGTTCCTGGAGAATTGGTGAATAATGTTTTTACCTAATGAAATATTGCGGTACAGTTGTATCGAAAAACGTGCAAAGTGAGATTAGTACTCTAGGATTGAATATATGTTGGAAAACGGTACTTAAAATCAAGAAATATGATTATTGGTACAATTCGACAGATTTTAGGGTTTTTGGGGAAACGTGCCAACAGTGCACAAATAGGGGTAAAACATTAATTTCACCAAATCATCGGAAAACTCCGGATTCATCTGTTCAAGGGTAATTAAAAGAATTTGGTGAATGTTAAATTTTTTATTTAACGGATAGTTCATGAATTAATTGGAGATTAGTGTGTTAAGTGAATGATTTGAATTAATTTGAATTGAGTGAGGTGGCATGTGGGACTCACCCCACTTAAACTAACATAAGAGCACATGTCCTTCACTATTCATCATCTTATTCTCTCCCCTCCTTTCCTCCAAACCCGCGGCCACACCAAGAATAAGGACAAAAAATTTCTCCCTTGATTCTTCATCAAATCCTACATGAAAATTGAAGTAAACAACCTTGTGAACTCAACCCACACCTCTATTCTTCTTGTTAGCCTCTACATTTTGAGATAATCCCCCTTGAAGCTTATGAAAATTTGATGGAGATGGAGCTAATGGTGCTTGTTGCTTGAGTGGTTGCTTGAAGAACATTCATAGGAGTCTTAAGTATTGATTTATGGTAAGTTTCCACATCTTTTGTTGGATTTCATTTTGATCAAAAAATTGAAGACCTAAGCTTAAATGACTTTGTGTCTTTGATAAATGTTGCTTAGAATGAGGATTAATGATGATTGAGACCATAAAAATTCTTGTGAAAAAGTTTGTTTAACTTAGAAAAATTTCATGGATGAACATGGTTCTTGAAAAAATGAGTTGTTGGAAAATTATGTAATTGAGTTGTTGGTGGTTTGAATCATTAATATTAAGGTTGTATCAGAGTTTAATACAAGTGGATTGCGAGAAAATTCCTTGGAATTCTACCCTTGCATGCGACAGCCTTATAGGTGATTTTAGGGAAAATGCAAGAAAAATTCCTTAGC